CCATCAGTAAACAGAAGTGGATGGATCATGAGATGTCCTCCAAGGTTTCTTCCAGCTCACAGCACCACTGACTGGGAGGCCTCAGCAAAAATGTCCTCACAGTTCTAGAGGCTGGAAGTAAGTCTGACATCAAGGCGTCCTCGCGGCTGGTTTCTTCTGAGGCTTCTCTCCTTGCCTTGCAGACAGCGCCTTCCCCTGCGCCTTCGCCCAGGCTTTCCTCTGTGCAAATCTATGCCCTCATTTCCTCTTCTCATAAGAACACTGGTCCTATTGGATTAGGGTCCACCCATATGGCCTCATGGTAACCTAATTACCTCGGTAAAGGCCCCGTCTGCAAACGCAGGAGATTATGGAACAACATGTGTTTGAACTTTGTGAGTCCACTTACATGCGGTTTTTCTTCTGCCTCTGAGACAGCAGGACCCCCCACCCCGCCCCGCAGCCTACTCAGCACAAAGACGGGAGGATGGAGACCTTGATGAGGATCCACTTCCACTCAATAACTAATACATAGATTTTCTCTTCTTTGTGTTTCTTTTAATAACATTTTCTTTAGCTTACTTTGTTGTAGGAATACAGTACGTAATGCATATAGCATACATAATATGTGTTCATCAACTGTTTGTCATTGGTAAGGCTTCCAGGCGACAGTAGGCTATTAGCAGTTAAGTTTGGGGGGAGTCAAAAGTCATATGTGAGTCTTGACTACAAGGGGGTTGGTGCCCTTGACCCCTTGTTGTTCAAGGGTTAACTGTACAATCACATTCTGATGTCCTGGCTGGGGGTTGGGACTTCAATATGTGAATTTTGTGAGGACGCAATTCAGCCCAAGGCACTGGGGGGACAAAGTCCACACTAGAGCACCCTAAGTACTGCTGAGTATTTCTAAAGTGCTGCTGGGTGTGGCCGGGTGCCCTGAGTTCTGCTGGGTATGCCTGGGCACCCTGAGACCTGCCGGATACAGCCGAGAACCCTGAGACCTGCTGGGTACAGCCAAGAACCCTGAGTCCTGCCGGGTGCGGCTGAGAACCCTGAGACCCGCCAGGTACAGCCAGGGGCCCTGAGTCCTGCTGGGTGTGCTGGACACCCTGAGTCCTGCCGGATACGACCAGGCCCCTGAGTCCTGCTGGGTGTGCTGGACACCCTGAGTCCTGCCGGATACGACCAGGCCCCTGAGTCCTGCTGGGTACGGCTGGGCACTCTGAGTCCTGCTGAATACAACTGAGTACCCTGAGTCCTGCTGGGTACGGCTGAGTACTGCTCACTTTCAGAGTCTCTTCCTCCCCCCACCCCCTGCTGCCTCTGGTCTTTTTTCAGAGTGCCACTGCCCCTCTCACCTCCCTTAGTCCCTGGGAAATGGAAGACAGCCTGGTAGTGAGGGAGGAAAGGTGACGTGGGAGCACAGAGAAGGGGGAGGGAAGCACAGGAAGAACAGCCAGACCGGTTGCTGGGGTGGACACCTTCTTGGGGCCATCTAGGGCTAGGGGTTCACCAGGCAGGAGCAGCAAAGGCAGAGGGGTAAGGGAGTCCAGGGTTCTAACAAGAGAGTGGTGGAAATGTCGCGATCAGTGCAGACTAGAAAGCAAAGACGGGAGACGGAGTGAAAGCAGAGGCATTCATGACACTAGAAGCCAGCAAGCGGGGCGGCACCACAGGGATCACAGAGAAGGGGAGAGCAGGGCTGGCTGAGCCTCTGCAGGGAGGCGAGTGTTCCAGCATCTGGAGCCTCTGAACCTTCCCAGGCCTCTCAGGGGAGGAAGAGCCAGGGAGAGACAGGGAGAGCTCTTAGGGGCGCCATCACGGCAGCCCCTCAGGTTTGGGGTCTAGGAGCCTGAGTTACCAGGTGGGGCTGGTCTGACTGTCTACTGTCCCTGGGCCCAGCTGTGGGCACAGGAGAGAGGCAGAGCCTGGTCGGGAGATCTCCCAGGGCAGGCTGGGACACCTGACGCAGCAGGCATCAGAGAGTCTGGAGGGAGAGGGGCCAGGTAGGGTGGGAGCCAGGGTCTCTGGGCTGTAGAGTGGGGCCGCCTCGCAGGCAGGCCAGCGGAGAGGACCCCAGAACACTCCATATCTAACTGGGTGGGTGCAGTATACGGATTTTCTGTAAGAAGTGCTCTCCCAAGCGTTTCAAAGGCATGCATGGCCTCAGAAAGGTTATGAGTCAGTGGCCAACTGACATTTGGTACGCTGCATTTAAATGCAGGCAAAAGGCAGCCATCTTAAGGCTTGCGGGAAGGGCGTGGACCAGCTTTCCTGGAACATCTGCCAAGGCAAGAGAGAAGATGCTGCCAGGAAGGAGTGCAGTGATGTTTCCCAGGCCAGCCCTGCCTCCTGGGCCCTGAGCACCTCCCCTTAGAGCTTCCCTCAGTCCAGAAATACCCGTGAGCCCTACTATGTGCTGACACCAGGCTGGGTGCTGGGGCTGCCCAGGAGATGCTCGTGGTCCTGGCGTCCGCACCTGGCACCCATCAGGCTAGACACAGAGGAGGCTCCAGGCCTTTGCACATGCTGTTCCCATAGCCAGCACCCAGTCCCGGTCTAGATGAGGCAAAGCCCTAGCTCATGTCTTGGGACAGGAGATGCAATGTCCAGAAAGTGGTGGCCTCAGGACCATTTGAGATGTTCTCAATTCAGTGTAAGGACTACGATGCACAGTGTCATTTGCACTACCTTTACTTTTTGTGACAGAGAAATAATTCATTTTTATGAAGCTCACAGAAACACAATCTCTCATTTTCTAATTGAATTATGTGGAACTCACTTAGCACAAGATGACAGGGCTGAATCTTCATGTGTTTTTCTGTGCACTTTAATCTCTCTGCCTCTCCTGTGTGTTGTAAGCTCCATGGGGAAGGAGTCCAGTCTGGGTTGTGTAGGGCTGCATCCCCAGGAAACTGCACAGTGCTTCCCACCAGGTGGGAACTTAGCCTGAGAAAATAAATAAGACCCTCAAAAATCCAGGGACCAAGCGATGAATCTCCAAGCATAACCAGGTGGCCACATCTCCTCCTCCTCAGCTCAAGGGGAGACCCAGAGGCCAGAAAACAGCCACTGTGATCATGGCCTTCTGAGAAGCCCAAAGGGACAGACTATGCCCTTGTTCTAAAACATGCATCTCTCCAGCCCTCCCTCAGCCCTGAGGGAACTGGGAGGAGGCTTTGCTATCCGCATGCCCAGGAGGGCCGGGGTGGGCTCAGCTTCAGAGGACACAACCTCCTTACCATGATTTATGGAAAGAGCAACTCCCAGAAGGAAGCCTTAAGGAGCCCTGAGTTCTGCTGGGTATGCCTGGGCACCCTGAGACCTGCCGGATACAGCCGAGAACCCTGAGACCTGCTGGGTACAGCCAGGGGCCCTGAGTCCTGCTGGGTGTGCTGGACACCCTGAGTCCTGCCGGATACGACCAGGCCCCTGAGTCCTGCTGGGTACGGCTGGGCACTCTGAGTCCTGCTGAATACAACTGAGTACCCTGAGTCCTGCTGGGTACGGCTGAGTACTGCTCACTTTCAGAGTCTCTTCCTCCCCCCACCCCCTGCTGCCTCTGGTCTTTTTTCAGAGTGCCACTGCCCCTCTCACCTCCCTTAGTCCCTGGGAAATGGAAGACAGCCTGGTAGTGAGGGAGGAAAGGTGACGTGGGAGCACAGGGAAGGGGGAGGGAAGCACAGGAAGAACAGCCAGACCGGTTGCTGGGGTGGACACCTTCTTGGGGCCATCTAGGGCTAGGGGTTCACCAGGCAGGAGCAGCAAAGGCAGAGGGGTAAGGGAGTCCAGGGTTCTAACAAGAGAGTGGTGGAAATGTCGCGATCAGTGCAGACTAGAAAGCAAAGACGGGAGACGGAGTGAAAGCAGAGGCATTCATGACACTAGAAGCCAGCAAGCGGGGCGGCACCACAGGGATCACAGAGAAGGGGAGAGCAGGGCTGGCTGAGCCTCTGCAGGGAGGCGAGTGTTCCAGCATCTGGAGCCTCTGAACCTTCCCAGGCCTCTCAGGGGAGGAAGAGCCAGGGAGAGACAGGGAGAGCTCTTAGGGGCGCCATCACGGCAGCCCCTCAGGTTTGGGGTCTAGGAGCCTGAGTTACCAGGTGGGGCTGGTCTGACTGTCTACTGTCCCTGGGCCCAGCTGTGGGCACAGGAGAGAGGCAGAGCCTGGTCGGGAGATCTCCCAGGGCAGGCTGGGACACCTGACGCAGCAGGCATCAGAGAGTCTGGAGGGAGAGGGGCCAGGTAGGGTGGGAGCCAGGGTCTCTGGGCTGTAGAGTGGGGCCGCCTCGCAGGCAGGCCAGCGGAGAGGACCCCAGAACACTCCATATCTAACTGGGTGGGTGCAGTATACGGATTTTCTGTAAGAAGTGCTCTCCCAAGCGTTTCAAAGGCATGCATGGCCTCAGAAAGGTTATGAGTCAGTGGCCAACTGACATTTGGTACGCTGCATTTAAATGCAGGCAAAAGGCAGCCATCTTAAGGCTTGCGGGAAGGGCGTGGACCAGCTTTCCTGGAACATCTGCCAAGGCAAGAGAGAAGATGCTGCCAGGAAGGAGTGCAGTGATGTTTCCCAGGCCAGCCCTGCCTCCTGGGCCCTGAGCACCTCCCCTTAGAGCTTCCCTCAGTCCAGAAATACCCGTGAGCCCTACTATGTGCTGACACCAGGCTGGGTGCTGGGGCTGCCCAGGAGATGCTCGTGGTCCTGGCGTCCGCACCTGGCACCCATCAGGCTAGACACAGAGGAGGCTCCAGGCCTTTGCACATGCTGTTCCCATAGCCAGCACCCAGTCCCGGTCTAGATGAGGCAAAGCCCTAGCTCATGTCTTGGGACAGGAGATGCAATGTCCAGAAAGTGGTGGCCTCAGGACCATTTGAGATGTTCTCAATTCAGTGTAAGGACTACGATGCACAGTGTCATTTGCACTACCTTTACTTTTTGTGACAAAGAAATAATTCATTTTTATGAAGCTCACAGAAACACAATCTCTCATTTTATAATTGAATTATGTGGAACTCACTTAGCACAAGATGACAGGGCTGAATCTTCATGTGTTTTTCTGTGCGCTTTAATCTCTCTGCCTCTCCTGTGTGTTGTAAGCTCCATGGGGAAGGAGTCCAGTCTGGGTTGTGTAGGGCTGCATCCCCAGGAACCTGCACAGTGCTTCCCACCAGGTGGGAACTTAGCCTGAGAAAATAAATAAGACCCTCAAAAATCCAGGGACCAAGCGATGAATCTCCAAGCGTAACCAGGTGGCCACATCTCCTCCTCCTCAGCTCAAGGGGAGACCCAGAGGCCAGAAAACAGCCACTGTGATCATGGCCTTCTGAGAAGCCCAAAGGGACAGACTATGCCCTTGTTCTAAAACATGCATCTCTCCAGCCCTCCCTCAGCCCTGAGGGAACTGGGAGGAGGCTTTGCTATCCGCATGCCCAGGAGGGCCGGGGTGGGCTCAGCTTCAGAGGACACAACCTCCTTACCATGATTTATGGAAAGAGCAACTCCCAGAAGGAAGCCTTAACCAAGGACCTGCCAGGAAACTTTTTAAAATGTGCCATTGAAAGGCACAATGAACCCAGGAACAGTGGCTCACACCTATAATCCCAACACCAGCCTGAGCAACATGGCAAGACCCCGTCTCCAAAAAATAAAAATAAAAAAATAATAATAATAGTCAGGCATGGTGGCACACACCTGTGATCCCAGCTTGGGGGACTGAGATGGGAGGATCACTTGAGCCCAGGAGGTGGAGGCTGCAGTGAGCTGTGATCACACCACTACACTCTTGTCTGGGTGACACAGCAAGACCTCATCTCAGAAAGAAAGAAAAAGACAAGAAAACACAATGAGGGGGAGGCAGAGCAAGATGGCTGAATAGAAGCTTCCAGCATTCGTCCCACCTGCAGGAACACCAAATTAAACACCTATCCACACAGAAAAGCACCTTCATAAGAACCAAAAATCCTAAGAACCTGGTACAGCTAGGCCCAAGTAGGGTAGAGCATCAAAAGGGCTCCTGGGGTCCCCAGTTCTAGACTTTGGCTCCTTGATGGCATTTCTGGACCTGCTCTGGGCCAGAGGGGAGCCTGCTGCCTGGAAGGGAGGGACGAGGTACAGGCAGCATTCACCACAAGCTGACCGAAGAAGCCTAGGCCTCGACTGAACATAGCCAGGCAGTATTTACCCCAGGCCTGGGGTGGCAGTGGTCGCGGAAGAGACCCCTGTACTTGAGGAAAGGGGAGGGAAGAGTGGGAAGGATTCTTTGCTTGCGGCTTGGGTGCCTGCTGAGCCACAGTTGAATAGAGCACCAGGTAGATTCCTAAGGTTCCTGACTCCAGTCCTGGCTCTTGGATGGCATCTTTGGACCCTCCTGGGGCCAGGACACAAACCTGGCTCAGTATGCCACCTGCTAACTGTAGGGATTCTTGGGCCTTGAGTGAACATAGGTGGTAGCCAGGCAGTGGTCAATGCATGCCTTGGGTGAGGCCCAGTTGCTGTCCTGGCTTTGGGTCTGACCCAGTGCAGTCCCAATGGTGGTGGCTAAACGGGTACTTATGTCACCCTTCTCCCAGCTCCAGGGAGCTCATCACAGAGATAGAGACTCTGTTTTGGGGAAAGTAAGGGAAGAGCACAGGAGTCTCTGCCTGGTAATCCAGGGAATTCTTCTGGATCTTACCCAAGACCACTAAGGCAGTACTTCTACTAGTGCAAGAGCTACAGCATTATTGGGCTTGGGGTGCCCTTTAAAGCAGATATGGCAGCAGTGACCAAAGACTTAGATCACAACATCCAATCCCTTTGAATATTTGGAAAACCTGTCCAAGAAGGATGTGTACAAACAAGTCCAAACTGTGAAGACTACAATAAATACCCAACTCTTTAATGCCCAGACACTGACAAACACCCACAAGCATCAACACCATCCAGGAAAACATGACCTCACCAAATGAACTAAATAAGATACCAGGAACGAATCCTGGAGAAATAGAGATATGTGACCTTTCAGACAGAGAATTCAAAATTGCTATTTCAAGGAAGCTCAATGAAATCCAAGATAACACAGAGAAGGAATTCAGAATAGTATCAGATAAATTTAACAAAGAGGTTGAAATAACTTAAAAGAATCAAGAAGAAATTCTGGAACTGAACAATGCAATTGACATACTGAAGAATGCATCAGTCTCCCAATAGCAGAATTGATCGAGTAGAAGAAAGAATTAGTGAGTCTGAAGACAGTCTATTTGAAAACACACATTGGAAACAAAATAAAAGAGAATGAAGCAAACACAAAAGATCAGAAAATAGCCTCAAAAGGGCAAATCTAAGAGTTATTAGCCTCAAAGAAAAGGTAAAGAGAGAGACTGCGGTAGAAAGTTTATTCGAAATGATAATAACAGAGAACTTTCCAAACCTAGAGGAAAATATCAATATTCGAGTACAAGAAGGTTATAGAACACTAAGCAGATTTAATTCAAATAAAACTACCTCAAGGCATTTAATAATCAAATTCCCAAAGGTCAAGGATAAAGAAATAATCCTAAAACAGCAAGAAAAAAGAAACAAATAACATATAATTGAGTTCCAATACACCTGGCAGCAGATTTCTCAGTGGAAACCTTACAGGCCAGGAGAGAGTGGTATTACATATTTAAAGTGCTGAAGGAAAAAACTGTTACCCTAGAATAGGATATCTGGTGAAAATATCCTTTAAGCATGAAGAAGAAATAAAGACTTTCCCAGACAAACAAAAACTGAGGGATTTTATCAAGAGCAGACCTGTCCTACAAGAAGCACTGAAGGTAGTTCTTCAATATGAAAAAAGAGAATGTTAATGAACAATAAATCATCCGAAGGAAAAAAACTGGTCACAGTAAGTACACAGAAAAACAAAATATTATAACACTGTACTTGTGGTGTGTAAACTACTTATATCTTAAGTAGAAAGACTAAAAAATGAACCTATCAAAAATAATAACTACAACTTCTTAAGACATAGGCAGTACAATAAGATACAAACAACAAAAAGTTAAAAAAAATCAGAGGGAGGAAGTTAAAGTGTAGAATTTGTATTAGTTTTGTCTTTGCTTGCTTGTTTGTTTATGCAATTAGTATTAATTTGTCATCAGCTTAAAATAACAGGTTATAAGATATTATTTGCAAACCTCATGGTAAACTCGAAAAACATTACAACAGATAAATAAAAAATAAAAAGCGTGAAATTAAAACACACCATTTGAGAATATCACCTTCACTAAAAGGAAGACAGGAAAGAAGGAAGTAAAGACAAGAAGATCACCAAAAATAAGAGAAAACAAATGACAAAATAGCAGAAGTAAGTCCTTACTTATCAATAATAACATTGAATATAAATGAACGAAACTCTCCAATTAAGACAGTGTGGCTGAATGAATAAAACAACAAGACCCAATGATCTATGGCCTACAAGAAACATACTTCACCGATAAAGACACATAGACTGAAAATAAAAAGATGAATGGTAAAAGATACTCCATGCAAATGAAAACTGAAAAAAGAGCAGGATTAGCTATACTTTTATAAGACCAAACAGATTTCAAGACAAAAACTATAAAAGAGATTTTAAAAAGGTCATTATATAATGATAAAGGAATCAATTCAGCAAAAGGATATAACAACTGTAAATACATATGCACCCAAGATTGGAACACCCAGATACATAACGCAAATATTATCAGAGCTAAAGAGAGAGATAGACCTCAATACAATAATAGGCTTCAGCACCCCACTTTCAGCGTTGGACAGATCATCTAGACAGAAAATCAACAAAGAAGCATCAGATTTAATCTGCACTATAGACCAAATGAACCCAATAGATATTTATAGAACATTTCATCCGATGGCTACAGAATGCACATTCTTCTCTTCAGCACCTGGATCATTCTCAAGGATAGACCATATATATTAGGCCACAAAACAGGTCTTAAAATTTCAAAAAAAAAACAACAAAAAAGAAACAATATCAAGTATCTCCTCTGACCATGATGGAATAAAACTAGAAACCAAAAAAAAAGAGAAATTTAGAAAACTATACCAACACATGGAAATTAAACAGTATGTTCCTGAATGACCAGTGGGTTAATGAAGAAACTAGGAAGAAAATTTAAAAATTTCTTGAAACAAATGGAAATGGAAACACAGCATACCAAAACCTATGGGGTACAGCAAAAGTAGTACTAGAAGAAAGTTTATAACAATAATCGCCTACATCAAAAAAGAAGAAAAATTTCAAATAAACAACCTAACAATGCATCTTAAAGAAACAGAAAAGCAAGAGTAAACCAAACCCAAAATTAGTAGAAGAAATAATAAAGACAAGAGCAAAAATAAATGAAATTGAAATTTTAAAAAATACAAAAGATCTAAGAAACAGAAATTGGTTTTTGAAACAATAAAAAAGTGACCAATCTTTATCCTAAGAAAAAAAGAGAAAAGATTCAAATAAATAAAAATCAGAGCTGAAAAAAGAGACATTACAACTTATACCACAGAAATTCAGAGGATTTAAATTAGAGGCTACTAATAAATAGGAAAGCCTACCAATAAATTGCCAATAAATTGGAAACCCTAGAATAAATGGCCAAATTCCTAGACACATGCAACCTACCGAGATGGAGCCATGAAGAAATCCACAACTTGAACAGGACAATAGCAAGTAATGAGATCAAAGCCATAATAATCAGTTTCCCATCAAAGAAAAGTCCAGGACCCAATGGTTTCAATGTTGAATTTTACCAAACATTTAAAGAACTAAAGAACCATTAACAATACTATTCAAATTATTCCAAAAAATAAAAGGAGGAGGGAATACTTTCAACTCATTCTACAAGGCTGAGATTATCCCGATACCAAAAACCAGACAAAGACACATCAAAAAAATAAAAGTATAGGCCAATATCCCTGATAAACATTGATGCAAAAAAATCCTCAACAAAACACTAGCAAACCAAATTCAATAACATATTTTTAAAAATCATTAATCATGACCAAGTGGGATTTATCCCAGAGATACAAAGATGGTTCAACACACACAAATCAATCAATGGGATACATCATTTCAACAGAATAGAGGACTAAAACCATAAGATTGGCTCAATTGATGGCGAAAAAGCATTTGATAAGATTCAACATCCCTTCATGATAAAAATCCT